GAACCTCCGGAACACGCATTCTTCGTAAGCTTCAGCCACGTCCTGGGTCTCAGTGCTCGCCATGGCTTTGCACATGATGAATCTCGAGAATGCACATTGAAACAACAGTAATGCCGTATTCCCTCGGGCTGACTGGGGCAACGGTATGCCGAAGTCCATCGAGACGACCTGGAACGGTCGTGTAGCCAGCAAGTTGCCGGGTGATGATCCTGGGTTCCGGGGTAATCCCTTAGCCGTGACACAATCCACGCACTCTTTGACATAGCGCTCCGCGTCCTTGAACATTCCAATCCAGTAGAATTCTTTGCGTAATCTCTCATAGGTCCGGATGATACCCTGGTGCGCGCCCTGGAAGTCCGTGTGACAGTGGTGCACGACATCCTTTTGGAGGTCCTGGGGGACCACCAGGCGGAGACGGTCGGCAGCATCCAGGGGGCGTTCCGGAGTGTTTCGGCTCACATTGAACAGCGCGTCCCGGGAGTCCAGTACAAACGGGCCTTGGCCAGGTGTGTTGTCTGCCTCAGGGACAATTGCTCTGTTTCGCCCCGGAGGAAACTCACCAGGGGCGCTAGTCCGGGGTCGTGCGCTTGGTGGGAACAAATCCTCCTCCATCGCTCCCTACGAGCGTCCTCCGGGTCTTCTTCGGAATCCCGGGAGTCGGGGTTTCGAGGACTGGCTGTCAGCCTGTCTTCCGCGCCCTCAGTTCCCAGCTCGTCGGCTCCGGGGTCGGCAGATCCTAAGTGGTCAGTTCCGGATTCTGGAGTCGACTCTTCGGCGGCATTGCTTCGCTCGGATACCGAGCGCGTCGTCACGAATGCTTCACCTCCCGGGGAATACCTAGGTATTCTCCGGGCGGTGGCTATGAAAGCACATTCTACCAGCGATTGTTCTCTGGGACTCGGGTCCTTCATCAGTTTTTCGTGGATCCGGTTCAGGCCTTGGAGCAGCTTCCGCTCCTCGAGGTCCGTGACTTCCAATGATGACTGTTCTTGGATGCCTCGCTTGGAAATGTAGTCGGCGGCGGCGTTGAATTCTCTTTTCACGTGTACCAAGCGCAAGGATTTGAACTTAGCTTGGAGTCCTTCGGCTTCCTGGAGCAGCCTCAACAGGTGGGGTTGGGTACACCCGATGACCCCTGGAGCTGCTGTATTGCTAACCGGGAGTCTCCGACTACTACCAGTTCCTGGATCCCCGCGTTGAGAGCGAGTCGCGTGCCTTTGACTAGTCCGGAATATTCGGTTTCATTCACGGTGGCCTTCTCGAGGAAGTGTCCCGTGGCTGCCATAACCTCCCAACTCGGGAGGCTCCAGAGAATGCATGCGGCGCTTCCGGACCCATCTCTCTTGGCAGCTCCGTCGAAGCTCAGCAGGTGTCCGATGTGGTCGCTAGAGAGCATTTCCAGGCTGACCGGGGGTGTCTTGATCCGGGAACCGGGACTAGGGTCTCGGCGACTTCATCGAGGCGTTCCCGGGGAGTGATACCCGCTCCCAGGATCGCTGCCAAGCCGTCCTCGTCGTTCTCGACCCGCCGGATGTCCAGGTCCCAGGGAGACAGGTTGACCGCCCACTTGAGGCATCTCCCGTCTACCGTTTTGGACTTGAACAGCCACACCAGCACCGAGTACCGGGTATACACGCGAATCTTCTTCTCGGAGCAGCTCGTAATCATAGTGTGACATGTGTTCAGGACTCGGAGCAGCGCTAACACTTCTTTCTCGGCGGGGTGGTACCTGAGCTCGGCGTCTTGGAGGACCCGTCCTACGAACCGCACGGGTAATATGGTGCCGTCGTGGTCTGGCCCCAGAACTGCACTGATTGCCCAGGGATTGGCGTGCAGTATGATTACGTACTGCCTCCCGGGGTCGGGGTGCTGGAGTAGTGGTGTCGACACTAGTCGGTCCTTGAGTATTCGAACGCATGCCTAGGTTTTTCCAAATCTCGCCCGGAACGGAGTTGCTCATCTGATGTTTCGTAGAGAGTGGCCGCAAGTACGGGTAGGTCCTCGATGAACTTAGCATAATAGTTGAGGCCCCCGAGGAAGGACTGTACCCCCTTAGGCAAGTTGAGGACCTTTTCCGCCAGTTTCGCGGATGTCCGAATTCCATCCGAGCTGATGTCGTGCCCGAGGTACTTACACTTCTTGACTCCAAATTCACTCTTCGGAAGGCTCACTGAGATGTTCCAGTACCGCAGTCGGTACAGGAGGGCATTCAGCGTCTTGCACAGGTCATCCCAGGACGGAGCTCCGTAGATGATGACATCGATGTACGAACTCCGGGACAGCACAGGGCCTATCTGTTCCGGGGCGACCCGGTTCTGGTGGAACACGGTGTCAGTGCTGGTTCTGGAGACCACCGCCCCCCGGGGCTCCGTACCCTGGGATTCCTGGGCGACCGGGTCCTCGGGAGAAATCCCCAGGAACGATGGCCGACGCCCATTCCGAGTTGGAATATTCGATCAGGCCCGTTTCCAGGAGGCGCTTGAGCAACTCGTACACCTTGGACAATAAGTCGGCGGGGATCCGCCGGGACCGCATGGAAATGGGTTTTTCGTCCCCGACGTCTAAGTCGCACACTACTCCCCGGGCGGGGGAGGAAGTGCATTCCCTTCTCCCAAAAAAATCATACGATGCTTCCGGAGGACGGCCCGGAGCCGCTCCTCCTCGTCGGGGTCCGACTCCCCGGGATCACCGACGATCGCATCTTCGATGTTAGCCTCAGGCCGGAGATCGCTAAGGTCGGGGAGATATGCCATTTGGTTCTTGAGCATGTCTAAAGGCACGAAGTCAGAACCTTGGTGATAATAGACTGCGGGCTCCGCGTCGAGAGTTTCCCCAGCCATCGCTACCATTACGAACGACCGGGCCAATGCTACTTGGGCGTCCATGGGCGCGGACTCGGGGGACTCCGGAACGGGTCCCGGAGGGGCCGTGATCGCCGGAGCGGGCTCACCCTCGAGGAAGCCTGTGCGTCGTGGTCCGAGGACTCGCTCCTCGGGACTGGGGGACCGGGGTCGGCTGGTCCTCGGGGTGTACCCGAGACGACCATGACGCGGTCGGTGCCCGAAGCGGGGCCGGGTGCAGCCGGGGGTAGTCAAGCATGGAGCCAGTTCCGTACGGGGGAACCGGGGCCGACTTCCTGGGCTGCTCACCCTCCAATGGTTCCGGAGACCACGCGACTGGGTGAGCCTCGGGGACTCCGGGCGCAACGGCCCGGGTCTCCGGG